GCCTTGATGAATCAGTCTTCGAGAATCCACAATCAACCGTACTTATGGCTTGGGAGACTCAAAACCTTAATTGAGGCGCGACACCTGATGCTCTTGATTCAGACCTGTCTCTGCACATGACACAAAAGAAAACATGAACATACACCTTTGTATGCGATTAGAAATTAGTGATACATATGTTAAAAATGTTCAAAACACTTGACAATCTTCGCATAGTCAAAGCTCGAAAGTGAGACGTTAAAACCGACCGTATTTCGTGACCTTGACTTATCTTAAAATGCAAAAAATAAAGATGGGATCTTAGGTCAAAAATTGGGGTACAACAGCTGCCCCTATTTAAGTTTCTTCTGTCTGGAGATATGAAGATTGGGATCTTCATTTCGACGAGATTGAAGGGACTTAAATATAGAATACACAATTTTTGGCCTTAAGATACCGCGATTATGTTCATGATATGATATGAATGTAATGCTCTGAATTTTATGGGGAATGACGCCATACAAGACAGACTATGCTGGAGAAACCAAACATATTACACAGTGATCCCACAAAGGAAGAGGTTATAACTCCACTGGGGAAACAGAGTCATAGACTTCAAATGAGAGACTCTTGAATGATTTACATCAGTGTTGATACTGGAAAAGAAATGATTTACATCAGTACTGAGACTGGAAAAGCATATGATTGACATCAGTACTGTGACTGGGAAAGGAAATGATGGACATCAGTACTGAGACTGGAAAATGATTGACATCAGCACTGTGGCTGGAAAACAAAATGATTGACATCAGCACTGTGGCTGGAGATAAACATCTCTGATTTCTGAGTTTTACCAAGAACGGTAACACATTTCTTCTCTAACCAAGATATCGCTTGAAAAGGATAAAATAACAAACTTCCCCACTGGACTTTTCCGAAAGGGATGCCATTTGCTGAGTAGACATTATTGTTGGGGATACACAAGCTGCTCAAATAAAGAGCTGCCACTTGCTTCCTTTCAAAGGTGTCAATAACATACAAGTTGCTCATGAAGAGATCGCCACTTGCTGTCTTCAAAGAATATTAAAGCACACAAGCTGCTCATGAAGAGTCCGCCACTTGTTGCCAAAAACCCACAAGCTGCTCATGAAGAGCTTCCACTTGCCACTTTCCGTACAAGCTGCTCATGAAGAGCTGCCACCTGCCACTTTCCGTACAAGCTGCTCATGAAGAGCTGCCACTTGCTGTCTTCCAAAAATACTAACGTACAAGCTGCTCATGAAGAAGCTGCCACTTGCTGTTTTTCGAGGTGTCAATAATATACAAGTTGCCTCGTGAAGAGACTGCCGCTTGCTGTTTGTCAAGAGTATCCATAACACACAAGTTGCTCATGAAGAGACCGTTGCTTGTTGTTTTTAAAGGTATCAATAACATACAAGTTGCTCATGAAGAGACCGCCGCTTGTTGTTTTTAAAGGTATCAATAACATACAAGTTGCTCATGAAGAGACCGCCGCTTGTTGTTTTCTCTAAGGTATCAATAACATACAAGTTGCTCGTGAAGAGACCGCCGCTTGATGTTTTCAAAGGTGTCAATAACATACAAGTTGCTCATGAAGAGACCGCCGCTTGATGTTTTTCAATAACACACAAGTTGCTCATGAAGAGACCGCCGCTTGTTGTTTTGAAAGGTATCAATAACATACAAGTTGCTCATGAAGAGACCGCCGCTTGTTGTTTTCTCTAAGGTATCAATAACATACAAGTTGCTCATGAAGAGACCGCCGCTTGATGTTTTCAAAGGTGTCAATAACATACAAGTTGCTCATGAAGAGACCGCTGCTTGATGTTTTTCAATAACACACAAGTTGCTCATGAAGAGACCGCCGCTTGATGTTTTTCAATAACACACAAGTTGCTCATGAAGAGACCGCCGCTTGTTGTTTTGAAAGGTGACATTAACCCACAAGTTGCTCATGAAGAGACCGCCGCTTGTTGTTTTTAAAAGTGTTGATAACATACAAGTTGTCCATGAAGAGACTGCCGCTTGCTGTTTTCTCAAAGATACCCATAAAATATCATGAAGGTATTGCTGGAGGTGAGAATCAATAATTTCATCGAGGATGGACAAACTGCTCATGAAGAGACCGCCATTTGTCATAGAGAAATCAGAAATAATCAAACTGCTCAAATAAAGAGTCAGTCGCTTGTTGTCATGTCGATATTCCAGAAGAAGGTTATGATAACACTACTGGGGAATAAAGTTCATCTTCAATGGGGGACCATGAATAAATCTTTCCTGAGAAGACCAAGTATTTAAGTTGCAAAATAAATGCACTCTCCATCTAGGTTTCACAGCCTAGAGAGATCCACAGGGTATCGTTCACAAGAGACACAGCTCAATCCAGGAATAAACTGGAGAGAAAACAGTCAAACAAGACTCCACCCAATGAGGAAATAACTCAAATGGGGATTTATCCTATCCAAAGATGGAAAAGGAAAGCTAAAGCAAGATTCTTCCACGAGAGTTAACTCAGTGGGGAATTAGAAAGAAGGCACACTTTATGCTTAAGTTGACACTCTATTTGGAAAGATCAAATATGTTATTTGAATAGACATAACCAAGGTGTACGGACTCAATGACATCAACAAATACAATTGTGCATGCATGATGCAAGTGTGAATGAATAAATGAATGTCATGTATATGCTGACAAAACAGACAGGGGAGATAGACTGAAGATGATAAGACGTCCCAGTATAACCCGACGCTCAGCTAACCTCAATAATATGGGAACATTACTGGAGATAAAAACAAAGCCATCATTGGAGCAAAGTCCTTTTACAAGGCTTAAATATCTCTGGAGAGGAAGATATTTTCAGGTAGAAAACCCAAAGTCTAGTCTTCTATTGCAAACAATCCATTGAAAGGATAACAGCACAAACAAAGTTCCAGCTGGAAAGAAGTCTTGCTTAGCTGGAGATATTGGGAACACCACCCTCTGATAATGTATGAAAAACATATCTTGACAAATCTGGATTGCCCCTGGGATTAATTTTGGATGCCCCAAGTTTACTGCTGATAAGCTGTGTGATACACGACAATTCTTGCGAATAGCTTTACCTCTAAAATGCCCCGAGCTATATGGTTGATGAGGAGAAATCGTCTCAAGAGGATTTTACAAAAGACCTGGCATTCACCATGCTCTAGTGTCTTCAAACTCTTAGAGAGATTCATCGAATCTCGACGTGATTGCCCCGAATTGACTGTAGTTGGCACAACAAAGTCTTCAAATTTTTGCCCCAAACGAGCAAACAAGTCGGGAAAAGCATTAACTGGGAGAAGCAACATGTTCGTGCTTAAGGTCTTCATGTGACACGCCCCTGAATATGATTTTTCTTGACGTGATCCGCCAATTACTCAACATAGTTTCAGGCCTTAAAAGAATAAACTCATCACTGGTGCTTATGTGAGCTTCCTCGATATCAAACAAATGTTTTGCAGTTAGAAAAAGTTTACAATGAGAATGAAAATTCTAATGCAACAGTTATGTAAGTCTTGAAGATTTTGAAAGATATCGCACAAATTTTGCGAGCTAAAGCACCATTTATTTTTGTATAGGAAAAACATATGATACCAACACAACTATTTAGAACATTCATGGGAGTCAGGAACACTATCTCATTGAAGTATGCTTTCAAAATAACCTTGCTTCAATTAGGACTTTTGAAGGTTGTAATGTGGTCTGGTTCATGGTTTTAGAAAAAAAGATTTAAGGCTCAAAATATTTGGTGCCCACCCCCTTCATGATGTTCTCCAATCCTATGTTCAGTTAATTCAACATGAGTGTTCATCTCTCAAAAGGATTTTGTGACGGTCAATGAAACGACGAGGCTTTCGGAATAGAAACCACCCTCATGTCTTCGTGTTTGTAGTCACCAATTTGCTGAGGACTTTTCTTTGCAGTCCTTTCCTTTGCGATTTTATTTTCCCTAACTTTTGCCTGAACTAATTCTTTTGAATTGATAGTCCAGCGGGATGCCTTAATTTTGCCTAAGTCACACGTTTTCATGTTTTTTGACTTAGCAGGCTTTTTCTTTTTGAACAAAAAGTGTGCCATTATCTTGTATTTGCTTGTTGAGAGGATTGTGATTGCCTCGTTTCTTGATGAATGAGGGATAACATTGTGGTTCCACATCCTCTAGATTCATTACACATGAAGGATAGCCCTCGTAGTTTCTCTTCAAAAAACATCTTCCTTATGAATTTTGAACACTCAGTCAGATTAACTAAAAACTACTCTGCCCCAGGTTAAAATTCAAGGTTTTTTCGTATAGAAAAGAAACTTCTGCTTCAAAGGCTCAAAAGGGGTTAGCAAGGGATTATCTTCCTTATATCTCCGGTGTTTAGGGATTTGAAACAATGCCTGTACATCATCAGCAAGATTTTATCCAAAAGCAAACAACCAGAGATTTTGTGTTCTTTAGATCATCATCCTCCCTTCAATCTCTGCCTAGGCAAGAGAATGGGCAACAAGTTGGTATCATAATGCAAAAAGAAATTTAAAATTTGAAAACAAATGTGAGTGAAACGAATGAATTTCTTCAAGACAAACATACCCATTGTATTAAGATAATCATTCAGATGCAAACAAGTTCTTACATGCCAACAATGTTTTGATAAACAAGAAAAATTACAAAAAGCAGAAATAAGTTAATAATCTGGGAAGGCTTTCCATCTGGACTTGAATCACCGAAAACATCCTTCAAAAATCAAAGTCACCATCAATCGTGTTTACTCTTCGACACGTGCTTGATTTGAACCTTAAAACCAACGTCCTTGAATGACAAGATACCACTTCTGACCAACTTCTGAACTTCAATCTTCAAAGCAAAGCAACCCCCCCAAGTCATGCCCAGGAGAACCTTGATGAAAAGTACAAGCCAAATCAACTTTGTAGTACCAATGTATCTTCTCAAGAACCTTCGGTGGAGGTCGGGTCTGAACCAAATTCCTCTGCATCAGGATAGGGAACAAATCTGTATAGGTAATTGGAATTGGATCAAACTGGGTTTTCCTCTGATTAAGAACTTGCTGATTATGTTGATAAATGGGAGAAACATGATGATTCTGATGATGATTATTTCTTCCTCTGGTTCTCTTCTTGGAAAAGTCATTATCAAACTTCTTCACACCATTAGCTGAGCTACCATCTTCATATGAACATCCTTTCCCAACATCTTCTTCTAGACGCACTCCCACATTCACCTTGTCAGGAAAGTCACTAGGCGCATTAATCATCATCTTCTCATGAATGAATGATTTCAGAGTTTCAGTGAAGACTTTTATCATCGCTTCCTCCCTCCTAGAAGGATTGACTTGGGCGGCAACCAGAATTTCGACCAAACCAGTTAAGCGCTCCACACTAGCTTTCAAAATAGTCATTTCTCTGCGGAGTTCAGAAATCTCTTGCTTGATATTCTCCATTGTCCTCTTAGCGCGAGTGTTGTACTGGTGAGACCAAAAGGAAAAATAAGACTCGGGAAAAGACCTTTGAAAGTGAAACAAAAAATGTAGAATGATGTATGATATGCAAAAGAGAGTTTTTTATTTGATTTTCAAGTAACTCAAGATATTAAGTTGTAAACATCAAAGATAGAAGATGAATTTTAAATTGGCTCCAAACATTGATCAAGTTATCATCAAGATCAATCATCCATTTTGGTGGATTAGGGTTTTCGCCCTATCAACACCCAAGATCCATTGAGCTTGACGAAACTTGTGATGTTTACAAAGAAAGACCTCCAAATTCCTTCAAAGTCCAGTGAAAAGGGTTTTATGGATGCATGAGTGCATGACTATGCAACAACCACAAGCAAGGTCACAAATAAAGTCGAAAGGTTCAACGTCACGAGCATGGAGTCAAGGTAAGGAATACCCCCAAGGTATGTACTAACGGTTTAATCACACCTGTAGAACAAGGTTCTAAGAGTTCCCGGAGTCTACATTCCTCCTTCGGATATTACCAACGTCTTGATTACTCAATAATCAGCAATATTCTCAAGAGAAACTCATCCGAGCGTAGCATCGCCTAACAATTACTTCCGGATTACTCCGTTATAATTTCCGCGCTACACCTAAAAGGCCAAGATGGGTTAGGGTTCTACGGTTCCCAGCTTCTCTGGCTCCCAGGTCGAAAATAATAATGTCTTCCCGATTACTCGATAAACAAATATTACGTTCAAAAGGGCCTTCCACTGAGTGGGGGATCTCATGCCTCCTTCTTCGGGATTACTCCCTCAAAGTTAACATGACTATACCGCCCGTCCTATTCCTAAGTGTAACTTAGTCCGGGTATAGGACTTGTCCTTTGTAAATATTATCAACACCCAAATAATCATAATATATACATAAAATCAAACAATCAAATAATGATAAAACAGATAAAACAAATTAGGCTTAACCCACTTAGGGATGGACCAGCAAGAGGTCAATCTGTCCCCAGCAGAGTCGCCAATTCTGTAGCGGTGAAAATCGGAGATCGAGCTATTAATTAACTCGACTCACAAAAAGCAAGAGTCGCCACCGCGCTTTATTATTTCCAAGAGAAAAGGGAAAAGAGCGAAATAAAACCCTAAAATATGCAATGTAAAATAATACTTAAGAGTAATAAAAATACAATGCGTTTTTTGAAAGAGATCGAGAGTTCGGGGGTTGGTTATACAATGGGAAGGTATTAGCATCCAATGCATCTGCGGTACTCCGCAGGAACCTTTTGAAATATCTGTTTTTGGTTAAAATTGTTTGTTTGATTAAAATGGTTCGTTTGGCTAAAAATCGGTGTTGGGGAGATTTTGAAGATACGACGATCTAGTGTCGAAGTTTTGACTCAAAAGGTGTAAGTTTGAAATTGAGTCTTTTGGAAAATTATCTTGAGTTTAGCAAAATAGCAACCGAGCAAAAAAAATGAATGAAGGGGTTCGCGCAATCGTATTACTTATGAAGTTAACAAAACATTTCCCTTGGATTAAATCGAGTGAGAAAAATAAAATAGACGTCAAAATATAGGCAATCAAAATTCACAAGAAAATAAATATAACGAAACAGATTAATGACCTAAAGGCATCGAGAAATTAAAATGACAAAGATATTTAAATAAAATAAAAGAGAATGTAACTAATTATCTAAAGAAGTTATTTAAACTAAATTAAAAATTTAAGGTTGCTAATCTAAAACAAAAAAAATTCAAAGTTACTAAACTAAATCTAAATCAAATAAAATTCTAGAAGAATATTAAACTAATTCTAAACAACTAAAATTCTAAACTTATTAAACTAATTCTAAATCAAATAAAAAATATTAAACTAATTCTAAATCCAATAAAGTTCTAAAGTCCCTAAACTAAAACTAACAACTAAAATTCTAAAGTTAACTTAAATAAAATCAAATAAAATTCTAAAATTTACTAAATTAAAACTAAAATAAAATTCTAAAATTTACTACGTCAAATCTAAATGAAATAAAATCCTAAAGTTACTTAAAATAAAACTAAACAAAATAAAATTCTAAAGTTATTAATTATGATTCTAAATATTTTAAAGTTATAAAATAAATCTAAACTAATTAAAAAAATTCTAAATTAATACTAAACTAAATCTAAATATAAGATTTACTAATATTTTTTTTATATATATTTTTTTTAAATTCAAGAAGCAAAAGCATGCAAATTTATAATTAGAAGTTACTACTAAAAACACAGTATCATATACCATACTGTCAATTATATGTACTAACTAACTACCACTTCACTCAACTAAACTTCATTACACACTCCACTTCCAGTCACCAACATTTGAAAACTGCATAGATCTAGCAGCCAAGATAAACTTATCAATACCTTTAATCAGTTTATGATGTAGATGTAGGTCCTCCAGAGCTCACATTCTCAGACACCGGCGCAGAAGGAGGAACATATATGCGTGCTTTCTTGAGAATTTCAGCAACCACCCAATGTTTACTCTTGGGAATAGAAACAAAGACACATAAATGAAGTTGGGAAAGAGGGGTAGTAAATGAAAAGGACGCTGGAGAGAGGAAGCAGAGGGTGTTTGAGATAGAGAGGAAGCTATTGGTTTGCTCTTAGTTGTTTTTGGTGTGTTTTTCACAAAGAAAAGGAAGACTATTTAAATAGTCAGATGAAGAGGAAAAATGATTTCAGCTTGCAATCATATCCGTCCATTATTTTCATTAATCCTGCACAACTTCTATCAACCAATTAGAAAAAAGAATAGTTTAACAAAAAAATTAATGATTAAAAATCCCTCTAAAAATAAAAATGACTTAAAAACCTGAAAGTGTACAAATTAATGCAATTTAAAATATATTTTTTTAAATTTTTCTGAATAAAAAATAAAGACCCAAAATGACCAAAAATGATAAAAAACGGACGAAAATTTATCCGAAAAAATAAAATGAACACATTAAAATAATCTACATGTCACAAAGATTAAAGAAAAAATATTCAAGAAGTCAAAAATCAAAAATAAAATAATAATAAAAATATCAGACTAAACAGACGTTTAAGGTTAAAAACGAGACTTTGAATTGTACCGAAAAAATAAAGCAAGCATACCGTCATAATCTACGCGAAGCGCAGATTCATAAAATGATCGGTAAAAAGGTGAAAACTTGAAATATTTTTCTCGCTAATTTTTCATACATTGTTGAATCGCTTTTAACATTTTGTCTATAAAACCAAAATATTTTTATTATCAACATATAAACAACTTGGAGCAATGCAACAAATGAGTAAAGAGATCAAAATGAATGAAGTGAAATGTCGGGTATTTTACAACTGAAAGACGATGCAAACTTTGATTTAAACTGACTTTTCTGGTCAACTTAAATACGACTAATGATGCAAAATGTGATGAATGAAGATATTTACTAATGATCGTGACCAAATAACAAAGTATGATATGAAAGTGCGACTAAAACAATTAGGGGCGAAATTAAGGGCGCAACGGTGTGCCTTGATGAATCAGTCTTCGAGAATCCACAATCAACCGTACTTCTGGCTTGGGAGACTCAAAACCTTAATTGAGGCGCGACACCTGATGCTCTTGATTCAGACCTGTCTCTGCACATGACACAAAAGAAAACATGAACATACACCTTTGTATGCGATTAGAAATTAGTGATACATATGTTAAAAATGTTCAAAACACTTGACAATCTTCGCATAGTCAAAGCTCGAAAGTGAGACGTTAAAACCGACCGTATTTCGTGACCTTGACTTATCTTAAAATGCAAAAAATAAAGATGGGATCTTAGGTCAAAAATTGGGGTACAACACAATCGCTTCAGAAAGATGTTATTAGTGTAAATCAACAATCAAAACATATGAATGATGCGTGAAAATTCAAAAACGATTATGGACATGTTTGTGCCAAACGCGATGTTGTTCTACCGTTTCTTTGAGTGTGGATGCGTGTTCTTGATTGCAATCAATTCCTGGAAGGTTCAGCAATGTATTGGAATGCTTGTTATGCCTTGAATTGTGCTCTAACTGTGATTTCAGATTTCAAGTTTTTGGTGAAAATTTGCAATTTTGTTCTCTCTTTTTGAGCAGCTTTTTGTGTCTCCTTGCATAGGGTTGAGTTGTGCATATGTAAGTGAACGGAATTAGGTCAAAAACAAGCCCAAAGATCCATCCATTTATGTTTTGAATATTTGATTTTTATCACATCTTTTTCAATCTTTTTTCCATGCCAATCTTGCCAAATAGGGATGATCTTGTCCCCTTGAGATGATGCACGAAATCTTTTGGATATAATGAACATATTTGCTGCACAAAAAAGAGTTAAAACCATTATTTGATATTTTTCTCATATTTAAATCTAATTAAATGAATTAATATGATTAAAAATTCAATTAATTAATTAAAAATAAGAAAATAAATCCCTTTGAGCTTAATGGGTCGTGCATATGCTTTGGGTAATGATTCAAGGAAGAATTTGAGGCCCATTAGCATTTTTGAAGCTTTTGAAGCAAAGTTGACTTTTCAAAATTCCCAAAAATTTCCCAACTTCTCCAAGGCATATCTTGCTCAATTTTGAAGCTATGGTCATGTTCTTGGACATTTTGGAAAGGTGTTGAAGTCCTATAACCAATGTCTTTGGTACCATGTCATTTTGATTTACCAATCTCAAGTTATGGTCTTTGACTTAAAGTGCCTTTTTGTTGACTTTTGAAAATGACCTATAATGTTGAAATTGATAACTTTTTGTGAGAGCATTTCTTGGACTTGAAGTGTGAAGATGAGTTGTAGAAAATGTTATCCTCTTCAAAATGCGCTTTGGATGGAATTTTTCTGATAAACCATGAAGAAGTTATGCCTTGGTCAATTTGCAGTTGACTTTTTCAACTGTCCAAAAATAGAAACTTTTGCATCTTGAGACCTTTTGAGCCATGCTTGTGAAATCATG